ACGGAGAAGTGGTGCCTCGATGCGCACCCGGGATCCGAACCCGGGCCACCAGCATCGCAGCGCGCGCACTTAACCACCAAGCCACAGGGCCGGCCCTCATATCATCCTTCAGAGAGGACTTCCCTAAACACTCATCTTCAATAGCCGCTCTTGTCACTCTTCAACATATCTCCCTGTAGTACGGCTCTTATCGCTCTATGGTTTGCTCATTTATTTCTTATCTTTTGCCTGTCTCCCTCCCCTAGAGTAAAAGCGCTGGGGAAGTGGCGATCTTACTTATTTTGCCCACTGCTTTATCCAGAGCCTAGAGCATAGGAGTTACGCAACTGATGGCTGTTTGATAAGTGAATGAATGGATACACAATTTAAAATGCTGTTTACCAAAATTATGCAATAAAATGAAAAAATGACCAAAATCTATTAAGTAAAAACATCATATGTAAAATGTCAAATATGATATAATTAAATACGTGTTGAGAGAACTGTTTCTGGCCATGATAGAGTAACAGGGACTACAGGGATTTACTCTCTTACCTTAAACAACTAAAAATCTGGACAAACTATGATGCAGTGGTTTCAGACCTTGGACAATAGTCAGTACAGGACTGTCGTTCCTGAAAGAAAGGAAAAAAAGAAAAAAAGTCAGTCCTATGATTGCTTCAGCTTACTAGCTGGAGGCAGTTTCTAGGCTGCAGCGTGGGGAGGGGGAACCCAAACAGAGCCTGGTGGCCTCACTGAGTTGAGAGATTGGAGTTCAGGGAAGCCAAGATGGCTGGAGTTTGAGAGGCAGCTTATCAGAGAGGAGGGACCTGCCCAGAGAGAGAGCTCCAAAGATTGCAGATCAAGCCTTTGGCTGAGTACTGGGCTGTGCACGTGACAGAAAGCTGCATAAATCGGTGGAGTGGAGGGGTTAGACACACAACAATGGAGAGCAACAGTCCTCAAAATTCCTGGAGCTCCCAGATTTCTGTTCCCATTAGCCAGAGTGGAAAGACTTCATAATACATAGAGCATCAAGTAGAGTCCTGAGAAGGGCATTGTCAGAGTGGTGAGTGGTGGGGCTAAATTAGCCCGTGACTTGCTGTTGCTCAGGACGCAGGCTAACAAAGCTTAAAGCAAGCCCTGCAGGAATCAAATTGACTCTAAGTAACAACTGCCTGCCAAAACAAGTAGAGCACCGTTTAAAAGATTACAGTAAAATCCAGTACCCAACAATGTAAAATTCACAATATCCTGCAATCAAACAAAACTTACCAAGCACACATCAAAATAGGAAAATACCATCCATAACCAGAAGAAAAATCAGTCTGTAGAAACAGACCCAGAAATGACAGAGATGATGGATTTAGCAGAGAAGAACATTAAAACAGCTGTGTAAACGTGCCTCACATGCTGAGGAAGATAGAGGAAAACAGAAACACAATGAAGAGAGAAACAGAAGATCCAAATGAAATTTCTAGAGGTGAAAAATACAATATTTGAACTGAAAAATATATCGCATGGGATTAAGAGCAAATCAGATATCATGGAAGAAAAGATCAGTGAATTGAAGACATCGCAATAGAAATTGTCCAAAGAAAAAAGACTACAAAAAAAGTTTCAGTTATCTGTGAAACAATATCAAGTGGTGTAACACACCTGTAATTTGAGTCCCAAGAGAGATAGAAAAAAATTTTGAAAAAATAATGGCTGGAATTTTCCCAAAATTGATGAAAACTGTAAACTCACAAGAAGCTCAATAAACTCCAAGCAGAACAAACATAAAGAAAACTACATCAAGGCACATCATAATCGAATTGCTAAAAACTAGTGATAAAAATGAAAAGTGGTCAGAGGAAAAAACAATGTACGGAGAAGCAAAGACAAGAATGATAACACTCCTCTTGCCAGAAGTTTTGCAAGTTAGAGAGAGTGGAGCAATATCTTTACTATCCTGAAAATAAAAACTGTCAACCTAGAATTCTGTACTCTATGAAAATATCTTTCAGAAACAAAAGCAAAATAAATATTTTCTCAGACAAAGAAGAGCCAAAAGAAATTGTTGCCGGTAGACTTGCACTAGAAGAAATGTTAAAGAAAGTTCTTCAGGGCCGGCCCCGTGGCTTGGTGGTTAAGTGAGCGCGCTCCACTGCTGGCGACCCGGGTTCGGATCCCGGGCTCGCACCGACGCGCTGCTTCTCCGGCCATGCTGAGGCCGCGTCCCACATACAGCAACTAGAAGGATGTGCAGCTATGACACACAACTATCTACTGGGGCTTTGGGGGGAAAAATAAATAAATAAAATCTTTAAAAAAAAAAAAGAAAGTTCTTCAGGCAGAAAGTGAAGGAAATTTGGATCTATACAAAGGAATAAAGATATGATAAATAGCAGAAATGATAAATAGCAGGGTAAATATAAGAGAAAATTTTCTTGCTTTTAAATCGCTTTAAAAGATAACTGATTAATGCAAAAATAATTACAATGTATCTTGGGGTTCATAGCTTATGTCGAAGTAAACTATATATAGCACAAAAGATAGGTGGGAGGAAATGGAAGTATACTGTTGTAAATGTCTTTCACTATATGTGAAGTGATATAAAATTATAAAATTATGTGAAGGTAAACTGTGATAAGTTAAAGATGTATGTTGTAAACCATTGAGAGCAATTACCAAAACCAAAAAATTTTTAGGAGGTACAGCTAACAAGCCAATAGTGGAGATAAAATGGAATCATGAAAGAATGCTCAGTAAATCCAAAAGAAGACAGACAAAGAGGAGAAAATAAAGAAAGAACAGATGGGATACATAGAAATCAACTAGCTTAAACTGTCCAACCAGTACAGGTGAATAATACATCTCCCAATCTCCTGATTTGGGGAAAGGAAAGCCACCTGGTTCAGCAAGGCCCACACTTCAGGCTCTCATGTGAAAAGGGAATTAGATGTGAACCGTGGCTACACCAGACACTCCCCCAGGACAAACTTCCCAAACACTATCCTAAAGGACAGTGCTAGGGAAAACACCCTTTGACCTTCATTTGTCACCCAGAAAAGTCTGTCAATCAGCCAACCCATCAGGCAAATAACAGCAAGGAGCACCACTTGTGTATAGAGAAGAGCCAGTGTTCCAGGATAGAACAAGAGGGTCCCAAGACCACACCTGTGCAGAAATATCTCCCCTGCCAAGGTTTCCTCATGTATCAGTCTTCTACCCTCACAAGCACTAGAGAGGTGGGATCTTCTGAGACCACCAAGAAAATGCACATTGAATGGAAGGGAGGGCCCAATTCTATTTGCATGTTAGCATGGATGAGTTAATTAGATTAGCTGGACAATATCTTGGAACTGCTAATACTGGGAGAAAGAACTAGTGAGCAGTAAGTTTTCTGCGTGGAGGTGAAGCCAGCAATGGTGGGCAAGAAGGTTGTAGCAGGAAGAGGGAATTATACCCTGAAGACTGATGCTTCTGTTTCAATTTTGCCCTTGGGGCTAGTCCTCTGGAGTCTTGTATGGTAGTAGTGTGGTGCTTCCTAATGTTTTTGAGCTGGAGGCACACCTTTGACTACTAGAATTTGGAGTGGCACATTTGAAAAACATTATTACAATAATAATAATTTAAAATGACACCAAAGTCAGCAGTGATTTCACCTGCAGTCATTGCTAGAATATAGCATGCCGTCATAGCATCTACAATAACCATAGACAGAACACCAGTTTTTGGTCCTTTTACATCACATGTCTCTGTTTAGAAAGAGCCTCTTTATTGCCCGCCCAAAGCCATCTCTTACATAACCCTGAGACAAAGATCTCACGTGTTCTGGTCAACACAGAAGATTCTTTTGGTTTTCGGTTTTTGGTGGGTTTGTGTGTATGCGGAAGGCAGAGGGTGATGTGCGGCTCCATGTTACACCATTCCTCTTTCTAAAGAAAGTTTGCCTCTCTCTCTGTACCCTGTGGCATGATCTGCTCGACTCAGCATTCTGACATATGCTGAATCCTCAGTTGCAGCAAAAAATTAATTTTACGCATTAACTTTATTTGGCAGCGCCCTGTGAAAGGATCAACAGGAGCAGAGAGTAAATAGGAAACAAAGTTCTAGCCCCAGGAAGTTCAACTTGATTCAATCGAGGCAAGCTAAACACCTGCCACATCCAAGGCCCTGAGCCTGAGGGGGTCACATGGGTGGGCCTCTGTCACCACCAGCAGCTCTTCAGCCTTGAGCCATATCACTGGACTGGGGCAGGGCCAATTAAAAGTGAGGAAACCATCCATGTACGTCAGAGATATGTTTTCTCTTTTTTCCCTTTGGAAAGATGTTCTTGGGAGTTCTTTGCCAGGAAGTTGGTCGCTTCCTGCCCCAATGATGAGGTTTCCGAAAGACATAAATATCTTCTCTTGCCAGGTGGAATGGGCTGAAGATGCCTCCACACACCAGAAGGCGAGCCTCGAGGAAGGGGCTTTCCAGCATCAAGAAAGGGGAGCGTGTCAGGAAGCTTGGGTACAGGAGGCAGCAGCTGTAGGACAAGCAGCACGGGCTCATCAAGTGGGCTTGAGGGCAGAGGGCAAAGGGCAAAAGGACCTGGAAAAGCAGCAAGTCTGCTGGAGAAACTGCCAGAAGAAATGTGCTGAGAGTGTGGGGAAGCACATGGGAGAAAAGAGTGGAGTAAATGATGAGGAGAAGTAAGAAAATGTGTTTGTAAGTGTCTGCAGAAGGAACAGCAAAGCCCTATAGAAATGTCAGTACCTGGTCAGTGAGTGATGCAAGGCTAGCCGCATGCAGGAAGGGGTCACAGGGTACAAGAAGGGGAAGAAAATGCCAACTGGTAGGGCTGAACACTGTGACACTCACCTGGTCATGCTAGACTGAAGAATCCCCCGAGTGTAGGCATTGATGCCACATTCAAATTTGTATTACGCAGACATTATTTTTGTGTAACTTGAATGTGTACTAAGTTCTATTGGTAATTTATTCATGGGTGATTAAATTATTGTCAAATATATCTTTTTTTGCTAAAAGTATTAGTCTGCCCAGGCAAGAAGGACCCCTGCCTTGGGCCCATGCTTTAGAGCTTTACTATTCAAAGTATGGTCCTTGTGCCAACAGAATTGGTATCACCTGGGAGCTTGTTAGATATGCAGAATCTCAGGCCCCACCCCAGACCGGCTAAATAAGATCCCAGGTGATTCACATGCACGTTAAAGTCTGAGAAACGTGCTTCCTTCAGCTGTGTCTCTCCTCACTGGATGAGGAATCCTCAGGGGCAAGGAGACATGGCCACTCAGAGCCCACCTCCCCTTCTAGACCATGCTCCAGGTAGTTGGGACACCAGAATCCTCTGCACAAATGGCTCTCCCTGATTCTGTCT